GTTCAGTGTAGTAGGAAGTTTCAAGATAGGAATTTCGAGCTTGATAGGCAGTTTCTTAGGACAGCAGGCTTTGGGATATGGTGAATAAATATTACTTACATGTGCCCTGCTTTCTTTCCCTCCTGAACTGGTTTTACTTGAGTAAAGTAAATATTCTTAAATATTTCATGTAGATTTTTTTTTTTTCTTCTTCTTCTCTGTTCCTTTTTGGTATACTCTGGGATGTTGAAAAGAACAGGATAAGTGGGGGAGAAAAAGTTTTTAACTCTTTTGCTTGAAATAGTTGTGTAGGGATAAAGTTGTGTAGGGACAAAAACCTCATTATTCAGCTAATGAACAGAGAGGTACATCTCAAATAGTCAGAAAAAAAAAACACCTTAGTTTTGCTGACTACAAGTAGAACACACATGGTTGAGAGTTGCTTTACTTTCGTTCTGTAAAATTCCATCTAGAGTTCCAATAACTTTCTTTTTTTGTGTGTTGTTTCTTTTTTCCCTCAGTTTTTATTGTGATTTGAGTGAAAGTTGACAGAGCAGATCATCAGTTTTACATTCAACAAATCATATACTTTGTTTCATTACAATGATTATAATTCCCTCCATTTACCATCAGTTAACAGTATTTCTATATACTCATTTTTAGCTCTTTTATTTTATTTTTTAAACAACCTCAGGAATATATAATAATGTAAACCACCAAAGGACACATCCTGTAAGCCTACCTCCTGGCCGCTGCCAGCTCTCCACCCCTCTCTTCCCATGAATCTAGAGTCCTCAGCTGCGCCTTTTCATCATGTCCCCATCTCTGCCTCTGTCTCTGGTGTCTCTATCTCTGCTTCTCTGGATAGGGTGCCGCATTCTAAGTGTGCTCTTCTCCCTTCCTCTGTTTCTGGACTATAAGATTAACTACTCACCCATTTTTATTACATAACTTCTACCTTTACAATTGTGACTGTCGCAATTAGTCATGAAAACAATTATTATTGAATCATAAGAATCTTATCCCCATCTCTTTTTACCAGACCCATCTAGACCAGATGAAAACTATTCAGTGGGGACTCCATCTTCCC